ATGGGAGTCTTAAGTGGAAGGAAGAGAGTCTTCTCACACCACTGCCTCTGTTGCTTCTTGGTACTAAGGTTTTTAGGAAACTCCTATCTGCAGACACTAAAAATAGAGAATGCTCTGGGAAAAAAATAACTTTTTTTTTGCCTAGTTATGAGGCTGATGTTAGGCTGTTAGGAAATGCGTGGGCTACAGGCTGCTTGGCACTTGGTTCAGCCTCACTGGGTCCAGTTTGACTGAGCACTGATCCCTGGGCTGACCCAGTAGCATCGCCCCAGTGCCTCCCAACTCTCCTGGACAACAAGGAAGTGCAGGGGACACTTCACCCGAAATACCACCTTTCTGGCCTCCAAGAGTTGAAACACAGTGGGGCAGTTATCAGGGTTGTAATGGCCATCACAATCCTAATTTGACCGCCATTCGAAGAGGCAGCCAGCGGACAGGGCTCCCTTCCCGAAGAGTCCCAAAATAAGGAGGCCAGAGTTCTGTGCACACACCCCACCAAACAAGACAGATGCTGCTCTTTCGGCTTCCCCCGCCTCAGTTAATGTTGCTTAGGATGGGATGAACTTCACCCCCACCTCCAGGTCATCAGCAAGGCTTGCTGCCTCCAGAACATATCCCAGTCCATCGACTTCTCCTTCTCCTCTGCCTCCCATCCCCGGGTCTGGTCCGTCTCAGGTCTGGATCATTGTTCCAGCCTTCTCACTGGTCTCCCTTCAACTCTACCTGCCCTCTACAGTTCATTTCCCCCACCTCTAGCCAGAGTGAGCCTTTAAAGCGCAAAGCAGATAGTGCCACCTGCTGAAAGCCGTCCCAGGCTTCCCATCCCCACTGGAATAAAATCTAACCTCCTTACTGTGGCCTTCCCAGGGCTAAGGCTCAACATGACGCGGCCGTCCCTAGTTTTCTGGCTTTATCAACTATTCTCCTCTGTTATATTCCCAGCCACACTGGCCTTCTTTCTGTACCTTGAACGGCCCAAACCTTTGTTCCCTCTGCTTTAAATGCTCTTCCCCCGAATGTCTGCATTGCTGGCTCCTTGTCACCATTCAGGTCTCAGTTCTGATGTCAGGGCCCCAGGAGGCCATATATAGGACTACCCTAGCCAAAACACTGCCTACCTCACTTTCTGTCGTATTTTCCTGTTTTTAATCTGTAATTACCTTGAGCTCTGTCTCCAAATTTATCACCAGCTTCCTCTCCTCAGATGATAAGCTCCACGAGGGTAGGAATTTCGTGTTATTCATCTCTATATCCTCACACCTAGAACGGTGCCGGGCACGTTGATGCTCAATAAATAAATTGTTGAATGAATCACTTAGTGGAGAAAGAAGGCTTCATTTAGCAGAAGTGCCTGGCACAGGATAAGGTATCAGTAAGCGTCCTGTCAAAACAGTAGATGGGGGCTTCCCTGGTGGCGCAGTGGTTAGGGTCCGCCTGCCGATTCAGGGGACACGGGTTCGTGCCCCGGTCCGGGAAGATCCCACATGCCGCGGAGAGGCTGGGCCCATGAGCCATGGCCGCTGAGCCTGCGCGTCGGAGTCTGTGCTCCGCAATGGGAGGGGCCACAACAGTGAGAGGCCCGCATACCGCATAAAAAAACAGTAGATGGATTCATGAAAGAAGGGTGAGCTGGCATTCTGCTCTGGGGTAGAGTCCCTCCTGTGCCCTGTGGTCGTCTGGTGGCCAGAACTGACCAGGACACGAGGAACAGGAGCCATGACTCAAACACGAGTGCAGAGCTTCGCTGTCACGGTTGTGAGAGCTCCCACTAGGGGACACGGACTGACTGGCTGGCCTGGCAGCCCCAGCCTGTCTCTACGGCTGCTCAGCTTACAAAATCACCACCAGCCGCTGGGGAAAACCTTGCCAGAGCCTTCAGATTGCCAAGCTGATTTTGGTAATCTTTCCACAAATATTTGCCAAACTGTGCTTAGCTTTCAAGGGACTTTATAAAGCTCACGTTGACATTTGAAGAGACCGGAAGATTTGGAGAAGGTCAGGGGCTGGATGTAGAGGGGATCCTGGCCCATGTAAGGGTAAAAATTGTTGTCTGTGGAGACCCTGGTGTCAAAAGAGTATCAGATGGAGAAAGGAAGGGGAGGTGGAGGGGCCTGGAAACCTGACAAGGGCGTCTCGGGCTGAGCATGAGGTGTACTGAGGACCTGCAGGCTCCGTTGTGCCCAGGCCTCGTGTGGGTGTGGGTGTGGGCCACCGAGCCGCGTCCACGGTGTGGCGCGCTTGGCAAATCCAGCAGCCCGGGCTTCACGCGCCAGGAGCTGGAGGTAAGGCTGGCCTTGTTGGAGCCTCCCGTGGCGCCAGCAAGCTGACGGCCCCCGCAGGAGGCCTCGGCTCCTGAGCGGGGAGAAGCCGAGGTCACGGGGAGGGGACTGGGTGACTGGCCTGTGGGCTGATGTGTTTGCTCTCCTTCACAGCTTGGGAAACAGAAGAGAAAGCACATGCCGTACAACCATCAGCACCGGTACTTCTTCCTGAGTGAGTCCTCCTCCAGCCCGGGGGCGGGGCGTGGGATGCCGCCTCGGGACTGCGGTGCTTGCAGTGAAGGCTGGGGGAAGTTCTCCGCCTGGAACAGCGTGCCCCCTGCGAGGGGGCAGTCTACCTTCTCAAGGGGCAAAGGCAAGAGTTAGGCTAATGTTTGGTCAAAGGTCACTTGTGTTGGAGGCAAACTAGTTCCTCCAGTCCCACCCTGGCTTCCACAAGGGACCTGGATGGTGGGGGGCCATCCCGACTAAGCCTGAAACCTCACTTTAAATCTTGTCAAACAGGCCAGGGCCAAGGTGACGCAGTGGGACACAGTCTAACACCCAGAAGGACAAAGGTAGATAGACTAGCAATGGGAGGATTGGATCTGAAGAGGGAGCTGGGGAGAAAACATTGCTGTGGTTGTCTTAAGCTCTCTCAAGACTGCTGTGTATATTCCCTGCTTTAAAAATCTCCATAATGTCTAAAAAGTTTTAAACCCTTCTAAAAATTCAAATTTTTAAAGGAAAGGAGGGGATGAGTTCATCAATCCCATTTTCATTCAAAGGAATTTTTGTGTTTTTGCGGTACGCGGGCCTCTCACTGCTGTGGCCTCTCCCCTTGCGGAGCACAGGCTCCGGACGCGCAGGCTCAGCGGCCATGGCTCACGGGCCCAGCCGCTCCGCGGCATGTGGGATCTTCCCGGACCAGGGCACGATCCCGCGTCCCCTGCATCGGCAGGCGGACTCTCAACCCCTGCGCCACCAGGGAAGCCCCAGAGCAGTACCTTTTAAAGGCAAAGGAGCAGAGCAAGTTCTGCGCGTGGAGCTTGTCTCCCCAGCTATCCTTTTCCATGGAAGAGAATGCCACGTTCCCCCCGCCTCACCCTCTCAGCATCCACTGGGAGATTCTGCTTTCTTCAGACTTGCCTTCATGCCCACCTCCAGCGCCTGTCGGTTCCAATGGATTGGGGACTGCCGAGGCAGCTGGAGGGGCAACAGGAGGAGATGGCAGAGGGGCAGCCCTGTGCTGGAGGCCATCTGTCCAGCACCATCTGGCCCTTTAGTGACACTTTAGTGCTGCTCACACCTCCCACCTTGTGTCCATTTCCTCCCCAGTTGGGCCCCCAGCCTTGCTGCCTCTCTACTTCCAGTGGTATATTTTCTATTTTGTTATCCAGAGGAAGAAGTGGGTGGTAAGTATCCATGGACCCCAAATCCCACATTCTTTGTCTCCAGTACCCTGAGGGATGGGAAGGGGGTTCTCCAGGGGAAATCCCACTGAGATTTACTCCAGGCCTAATTTAAAGCAAAGTAACAGAACCAGGTATCGACCCTTCCTTATCTCTAGGTGAGATGATTTGGGCTCAGCAGGCAACCTGACTCCTGATGCCCCATTTAATTCAGCGAGTTATCTCCTGGTTATTGTGCTCGGCATAAAGCAGGGGCCAGGCTGGGGAGGGGGAAGATGAATAAGAGACGGCACCTTCACTCAGGAAACTTCTGGTGAAACAGGATGTGGTTGACACCAGACAAGAGGTACAGGCAGAAGCTTTGGGGATTTTGAAAGGGGCCTGACTGCATCTGGCTGGATGGGAGGCATCAGAAAAGACTTCGCAAAGTCACTTACCTAGCTGGCCTTGGAGGGCAGGCAGAGGCAGGGGAGGTGGGATGGACTCTGAGCAGAGAAGCTGGGAATTAAGGGGCGAATCTGGTCACCGGACATGTGGTGGAGGACTCGGGTGTCAGGGGAGGAGGGTGGTGCAGAAAACTCATCAGCGATTTGATCAGGGTACTGGCACAGACTGAGCCACGATCCCGGAAGACTCACTTGGCAGCGTGATGAAGGGGTGAAGGATGGAGACAGGTTGGGAGGAAGTGGAGGCAGGGAGACCTGGTACCTGTGAAGGAAACTGGCAAGGAGGGCTGGGGGCGCCACTAGGAACGGAGCGGAGCTAGATGGCGCCGGACGGGGCAGCTGGGAGAGCCTGCCGTGAGCACTCCAGTCTGAGGACCGGGGAGGATGGCTGCTCCACGCAGAGGAACAAGTGCCGTGAGAGGCGAGGTGCTTTGTGCCGTCACAGGGCTCTGCCTCTCGCTGCAGGACTTGGCCTGGATGATCAGCTTCTACGTCCGCATCTTCCTCACTTACGTGCCACTGCTGGGACTGAAAGGCTTCCTGGGCCTTTTCTTCACGGTCAGGTAGTATTTGATGGGGGAGGAGGGAGCGGTGCAGAGAAGATGTGTGGGAGTAACCAGTCTGGTCTGGGGGCATTGGCTGGGGAGGGTGGCAGTACTTGATGGGGGAGGAGGGAGCAGCGCAGAGAAAATGTGTGGGAGTAACCAGTCTGGTCTGGGGGCGCTGGCTGGGGAGGGTGGCGGGGTTGGAGCCGCTTCTGAGCGAGGGTCAGAACTCCAGGCTCTGCCTGTACTGGTTTTGTCTGCGTGCCCTGTCTACCAGGTTCCTGGAAAGCAACTGGTTTGTTTGGGTGACACAGATGAACCACATCCCCATGCACATTGATTACGACAGGAACGTGGACTGGGTCTCCACCCAGGTGAGGGACAGTCACTTGGAAGACCTGGGCACAACTAATAAGGGTGGGTGGGCACAGGTAGGGGTGGGCAGTGGTAACAAGAGATGCTCCCAAACCTTGCCTCGTTAGCCTGAAGCTTCTCTCCTGCCACCACGTGGAGAAGGGAGTGACCAGGTACAGGCCAGCTTTGCCTGGAGAGGGCTGGGCTGGCCTTTCCATCTGGTACCCAGAGCCATGCTCCCCCAACCTTCTCCTCCAGCTCCAGGCAACATGCAATGTCCACAAGTCAGCCTTCAATGACTGGTTCAGTGGCCACCTCAACTTCCAGATCGAGCACCAGTGAGTAGGGAGGCCTCGGAAGCAGGGACCTGGGGAGGGTCCACGTAGGAGGGGGATGGGGGGGCCACAGGAGCTGGAGCCACTGACTGTCCCGTTCTCTCTCCGTGAAGTCTTTTCCCCACGATGCCTCGACACAATTACCACAAAGTGGCTCCCCTGGTGCAGTCCCTGTGTGCCAAGCATGGCATAGAGTACCAGTCCAAGCCCCTGTTCTCAGCCTTTGCCGACATTGTCCAGTGAGTACCTGAGCCCGGGAAGAGGGCAGGGCAGTGGGGGCAGTGGTGAAGAATGGGGCGGGAGCCACAGGAAGGTGTCCCCAGGTCGTCTGGAATGGAGGCCACCAAGGCCAAGGCCAGGTGCTCTGTGGGTTTTGTGGCCAGTTTGGGCCTTTGCTCTCAGTGCCATGGCCCAAGCCCTTTCTCAGAAGCAAAGGGGAGGCGAGTGCTCACGTCAAGGGGGCTTTACGTCACCTCTGGAAGGGCCTCACTGCTGCACTTCTGGCGGGTATGGCTTTGGGGCTCCTCTCCACTCTGTCTCCCTCACCGCCTGCTCCCATCTTGTCCCCTCAGCTCACTGAGAGAGTCCGGGCAGCTCTGGCTAGATGCCTATCTCCACCAATAAGAGCAGCATCCCGTCTGGAAGAAGAGCCTTGGAGCCAAAGCAGAGGGGGGCTTGGGGACCATGCCACTACAATCCTAATATTCAGAGGGGGTGGGTTTGAGGAGATAAAGGCTCTGACTCAAACCCCTCCCCTTTATCTTCTAGGCACAGATCTAAGACCCAAAGAGGGGTGCGCAAGCCCCCTGGAAGGAGGGGTGGAGCTGTTGGGACAGGGATGTGACAGTTTTGTTTCCTTTTTTGTTTAGCAGATGCAAGTGGTTGGTGGGCAAAGAGGGAGTCAGGAGGGTGTTAAAATAAGGAGGGTCCACTGAGCCCAGAAATCAGGAAGAGGTTTAGCACTAAAATTCCACCCAGGGGACTTCCCTGGCGGTCCAATGGTTAAAACTCCGTGCTTCCAATGCAGGGGGCGCAGGTTCAATCCCTGGTTGGGGAACGAAGACCCCACGTGCCGCACGGTGTGGCCCCCCCAAAAAAAATTTCCATCGAGGAAAGGGAGGAGCTCATCCCACTGGTCCACTTCTCAGTGCCTTCTCCACTCTTGCTTGCAAACCTCAGAGGTTCGCAGGCTGGAGGAGGACAGAGCAGCTGAACCTTTTGGGCAAGATTTAGGAAGCATTAGCGCCTGAGGCCTGGCAGCTTGGCTCACTCTAGGGCTAGGTGTGACCCATGTCTGCCTCAGGCTCCTGGAGAAGCAATTTTTCCACTTTTAGAAGCAGGGAGGGCTGTGGTGTCGGAGGCATCTGGCCCTGAAGGATGCTGGCACTACAGGATTTGGTCCCACATTCCATCCAGGGTACCAAAGGAGCATAAGGTCCCAGGGCTTGCCAAAACAGCCAGCAGAGAGTCGCTGGCCATTAAAAATCCTTTCAGCTTTTGATTCACCTCTTTTGACCACCACCCGAGGGAGAGAACGCTCGGGTGGTGTTCTCTCCACCCGAGCATGGGGAGTCTACTTCTTGCTCCATAAGCAGGTGGGCAGACGGGCGCTTAGTCTTCTCCTCCGTAGAAACAAACGGGGGCTCCCAGGGGTTTCCCTTTGCTCCCCGACCTGTAATTCCAAATTTAATAAAGTAGCAGTTAGTGAGCACAAGTGACCAAGCTGGGAGAGGGTGAATTAGCAGTCATGACGAAAACACAGGGTTCAGTCATAAAGAATATACGGGCCGTAAGAGATTTTCCATAACCTAAATTATGTTACAGCATTACTTCTGAGCAGGAGCAATGGGTTAAGTGTAATGACTTCATAGTTCTAACCGGAAACAGGAAGGGAAAAACACAGGCGTTTGTGATTATCATGCCTGCCCTTCAGCATCCTTACTCTGGCAATTCTGTTCAAGTACCTTTCTCTGCTGGAGACCAGGTAGGAATTTAGGAGAATCTCTTAAAGGTATATCAGTCTAATACTGAAATACAATTTTTTTAATCTCCTGTTTTTTTTTAAAAGATAGAAACAGTTTAACCCATCTCTAGAGAGTGAACACAGGACTGTACCCCATGGGTTACCAACATTCACACCCTTTCCCCTTCCCACACCCACTGCCTTGCAGGTGAGGTGAGGGGATCATTCACCTGTCCCAACAGCATCTACTCGAAGCATATTGAGCATCTTGGACACTGGAAAGAAAGTACCTTAAACTACAAGGAAAAAGCAGAGACCTGGGAGAATTCATATTTAGTTTAGGAAAGGAATGGCAAGGAGATGAGAATGGTAATCAGGGAGATGAAGGTCCTAAGGCATGCTGGGGTGGGATTAGAGGCACCACCTAACGGGAAGGCTGTTGTGATTACTTAGAGGTTTGTCAAAACACAGACAGACCTAAACACACACACGCACACGGCAGAACAGGTTACAGATTTTAGATCTTTTCCATTTGGGCAGAACCTGGCTTAAGACAGTCTGGGTAGAACAATTAGGAGCAGAATTGGAGAGCTGTACTTTCATTGGCTCCTTCATTCCAGAATAGGTGCTGAACCCAGCCTATCAAGCCATCTGGCTTTGGGCCCAGGCTGCCCAACCTGAGCAGAGCTAGTGAAACTTACTGAGCCAAGTCCGAGCCCTCAAAGCACCTCAACCACTGTGGCCTTCTCTCCTTAGCCTGGACCAGTGTGGTCTCACATGGCCACAAAGGGACAGACTAGTGACAAAAAGCTCAGACATTGCAAAGGTAACATGAGTGATCTCAAATCCAAACAATGACATGAGAAAACAGGATTAGAGAGGATAAGTTGCCTCTGGTCATAGATGTGGCAGAACTAACATTTGAACTCACTTTTTAAAAACTCCAATTTATATGCTTATCTTTGTTACTTTCATCTTCCTACCACTTTGCCAGAGGCATTTTAATTAGACCCAATATCAGCATCCTTTCTGTGTGTGCCAGTTTTGTTACCACACGCCAATGGAGTAAAACTGAGAAATAAAGGTAATTTTGACCAAACGAAGGCTGTTATAATCCATGATGCTCTCCTGCCTCTGTTGACAGGAGTCCCTGTACCTCTGCTACAAGTTACTATCCGACTCTCACTTCTTTGTGAATATGAGTCCCCATACTGACTCCCCCTTGCCTAAGCCCCTTGGGGCAGAAGGAGGGTCATCAGGCTGCTGTGGAAACACCAAGGCACAGGTGGACTGTGGCAAGGAGAAAAAGGCCAGCCCATTCCCATGATACGCACATGTTCCAATGCTAGGCTGCCTGTGTGCGCTATAGCCAATTCTAGCGTTTAGCGCACTGCTTCCTACTACCATGAGGCAACGCCCTCACCCTTTTAAACTCTGATAGTCTGTGTAGGTAGTCTCCATAGGTTTCCTTTTTGCCTAAATCTCTGTAAGGCCTAATACCTCAGAGCTGGACTGCAAAGCAATGCCCTTTTAACCACTGCCCTACTAGAACAGCTCTCCTCTCCAAGCGAGAATATTAGAAATGTGCTAGGGCTTCCCTGGTGGCGCAATGGTTAAGAATCCGCCTGTCAATGCAGGGGACGTGGGTTCGAGCCCTGGTCTGGGAAGATCCCACATGCCGCGGAGCAACTAATGCGCCACAACTACTGAGCCTGCACTCTAGAGCCCGCGAGCCACAACTACTGAGCCCGTGTGCTAAGAGCACATGCTCTGCAACAAGAGAAGCCACCGCAATGAGAAGCCTGCATGCCGCAACAAAGAGTAGCCCCTGCTTGCCACAACTAGAGAAAGCCCGTGCAGCTATGAAGACCCAGTACAGCCAAAAATAAATACATATTTTTAAAAATGTGCTAAATAGGATTTGCAGGATTGATTTTCCCTGCGGTGGTTAATAAACTGGAAAAGATCAGGTAACTCAACTTCAAAAATAAGAGGAAAACCAACCATGCTACCTGCTACCACAGGGGACAGGCCCTTAACTAGAGCTACTGCACTGAGGTGGTAACACCTAAGTCTTCCCACCTCTGGGTCCCATCACCATTACTGCAGGCTTAGAATCAAATTACCTGAATGAGAAAATGGAGCTCAGGAAAATTCCCTGGCGGTCTGGTGGTTAGGACTCCACGCTTCCACTGCAGGGGGCACAGGTTTGATCCCTGGTCAGGGAATAAGTTGTGTGGCTCGCTTCAATCTGGAAAATTGGTTTCATTTGTCAACTGCTAGAGACAGAGCAGTGAACAGATACTAAGATCGAGAGTTTGAAAACTACTGGTCTTTAGTCTTGTACCTGCTTTATCTGTTGAAATATTGTCAACTTAAATTTCAGACCACTTAAGTGTCCTTGGTTAACTTTAAATGGCAGTGATAGGAATGCTACAAAATTAGAAACTCGAACAGGACAGCCCCCTACCAAGTTTTATTAGGATTATAAAAATTTCAGAGTACAAGAACATTCCACCTCTACGAAAAACAGTAACCTGAACCTGACGTCACAGAGGAAACAAGGTGATTTCTGAATGGCAGCTTTCACGGTTTACAAACTAGTAAAGTAAATGCTTGGATGCTATGAAGTAGGTGATCTAAATTGTGAGGATTTCTCGAAGGAGCTCCTTTATCTGACACAGTAGGTGGAAAGCTAGAAATTCGTTCAATTTATTAAAACTCCTTTCCCAGCAAGATAAAACTAGGCATCACCCTCTAAATGGATGAAGTGCTGCCAAAGCCGCTTCGGCCATTCTACGGAGCACGGTGCCATCTTGTGGCCACTCAAACCACCCATTGCTACAGTGCAATTCCAGCATGTTAACTTGGAGTGAAAAGAACATTTTATACTGCCTGAAACCTGGGGCACTTGAGATGTCTTCAAATGTTCTCAAAGAACAGGACATTCTGGTTACTTTTATAATTTTATTGACTCTTCTCATATCTTTCAAAACATAAAACCCAGCATCTTATCCCAAAGTTTCAAATCAATTAACTGCCTCAGAGAGGCCACGAGAAGCACCACCACTTTATGCCTCTGAATAACCACTGTAAAGACTAGAGTTATGTCCATAGCTAGTTCAAGTTTCTGCCCACCTCAGGACACACAGCTGGTAATCAAACCCTTGTTGCCAACTCCAGGGACTCTGCCTATCTTATGTCTCGGCAGCTCTTCCCATCTGTTTAAGACTGCATCTTCCTGATGGCTACCCTTCAGGGTGGGTCAAGGCTGAGCCAAAGAGAAGCACAGTCTAGTCCCCCGGTCACCTCCCACCAGCCACCAGTTGGCCAGGCAGGAAATCATTTCCGGTCTTTTGTCTCCACCATTTATCTCCCTCTTTCTTCTTCAAAACTTGTTGCTATCACTTTCATGTAACAATGGATTCAGTGTCCATTAAATTGCCTGAGAGGCCGCTTCAGCCTGACATACTTTTCCTGAGCTAAAAAGGAAGAAAACAACAAACCTCTGTGGCCTTCCCGCCATGACATCAAGTAACAAAGGGAAAAGCACTACTGAGCAGGGTGGTGCTAGGGAAGCAATGCAAGCCCCTCCCCACCCCCACGGAGGTTTCTCCAGCGCCAGCTCTTGCGGGTACAACACGGCAGGTATTCTGGGGTCAAGGAGGTATAATAAAGAGAAACCCGTTTATTTTCCCCTTTTGAACTTCCCTGCTGCCCCAGTCTTGGCCTTCTTCTTAGCGGACCCCTTGGGTTCTGGCTCCTTGCGCTTAGCTGAAGAGAGGGAGCCGGTCACCTTGAAGAAATCATCCAGGCGGCCCTGGGTGCTGCCCTGGCGGCTCTTGCTCAGCCTCCTGACCCCGCTGCGGATTCGCTCCTCGGAGAACTGCTTTTCACCACACATGAACTTGACAAGCCCTTCCTCATTTGGCTCGCTCCACTTCAGCTCCACAGATTCCGGGTCCAGCACCTCGGGCTCCAGGAAGAGCTGCTGGGCCTCCTTGTGGAGCCAAT